AGTTCAGTATTTTTATGACAGCCTTTCCACAGGTTAGTAGTAAGCTAATGTAATTTCATAATTGAACAAATGATCAAAGGAAATGTATTAATGTAATTCAAATATATAAAATATGAATTGATGTCTACTTTATACTTAAGTGATATTTTTCTAATAAAATATATATTTTTAAGATTTTGTCAAAAAAAATTTCTAGAGTTGTCCACCATAATTTTGTGGCTCAAAAGTATCAGTTCAAGCACCGTTTTGGCTTGGGTATCATTTTAAAAAGTATCGATTTAGCACAGGCATCGAAATAAACCCAAACGATACCCAACCCTAATCATTAGTCCAAGGCACAATAGTGCTCTTTTTAAAAATAACAGCCATGTGAATAAAAGATTTTGGATTTTTTTTTCGATAAATACTTTAAGTGTCTTTGACTTACAATTTTATTGTTTATAATGCATATTTGTTTTGTGATGACAGTGTTTCGATACTAGCATCAAGCTTCTCTCACCATAAAACTTATTTAGCTAGAATGTGAAATTTTACTGCTAGACAAGATTGTTTACACTGAGAGCACTTTGATGAATGATTTTTAAAAAATGTCTCCCCTGGAAGAAATGTAATTGATCAGGTATTGGACTGAAAAATCAGATTTAATGTTTTAAATGTACAATTTGAAGTGTTGTTTTGTCTTATTGAATTGTTATTCAACATAATATTACTTCTTATTGAAGTTGATGTTATAACATAATATGTTTATATTGATCTTGCCATGAAAAAGCCATAAGTTACTGAAGTAGGAATAAATAAGAAAAAAAAAACTAGTTTTCATGCAAGCAGGATTTGTTTAACATTAGCAAATTTCCCAACTCCTACTCATAAGCAGCAAAAATTATTTTCATAGTTTCGCTTCTCTCAAATGTAACAACTTGTGATGACTAGTGTCTGATCAGATTCTTTCTTTAATGAAGTTACATGGCACACTAATGAAGGCAAACTTAAATGAATAAAAGCTTCAGAATTGTGCTTAGCACAGCAACCTTTTTTTTATTTATTAGATTTTTTTTCTTAACTTTTGACTGTCAAAAAACATTTAACTGTCAAATCAAAGATATGTGGTAAGATCAATATAGAAGAAGAAAAACAAAACAGGAACTTGTGTAACAAAAATGCCCCATCTAGACCTTCATGACTGTTTTAAAGAGCTCCTATAGGTCATATTTTGGTTTCTAGGGGTCTCCAACAACATGCTGATATGCGTGCAAGGTCAAAAAAACTATTTCATTGTCTTAAAATATGCATTTATTTTTACCTAATTATCCCAGCGACTCCCATATGAATCTTTGGGATTCATTTGTTCCCAAACCTCTCCATAGCGCAAAGCTAATCTGCGGTGATTGGTCAGATGACCCAGTCTGTTGCGATTGGTTAACTGCGTACAGCACGAGACAGAGAGAAAAGCCCACCACGGCTATAAAACAGCAACCAGAAAATATGCGAGAACCCAATGCAGGAATGCAATAAATCAATGCAGTTAAAAGCAAGCATATTGCTCTACTCTTAAAAGTAACCCCAAGTAATAAGAATGAGACACATTCAGTATTAATCCACGTAGTTGCAAAAGTTGAACTATTTTGAAAATTGACCTCATCGCGTGTGCGTATTTATGGCTGATGGTGGCCGCAGCAAAGGCAAACAGCAAAGTATTACCAGTTCAGAAACACACTTAAAAATCAGTAAAGGAAGAAGCACATGTCACATTTTTAAAATGGGCTGCGTCCAAAACCGCCTACTACTTAGTAGGTACTGCATTTGAATTTAAAAAGTACTACTCGGCCATTAGAAAAGTACATTCTATACCATGTTCAGTCTAAAAACAGCCGCTATAGTTATGAGGTGACGTGCGTCTGTCTGTTCAATACTGCGCAAGCTGCAGAGGCTGCGCAGAGCGCGAGTTACCACATGAGAGTGGTGCGGACAGCCGAAAACATTTAGATATGTTTTGTATAAAATGCCTCTCACTGTTATTGTTAATAGGGATACAACGATTAGCTGATTTCACTATTAACTGCTCTTTAATTTGTCACAGTTAATGAATCGTAAAGGTTTCTCTAAGCCACATTTCTGTTGCACGGAAAAGTTATGACAAGCTGTCACCTGTGTGCTAGTTTAAAGTTCCAAGTAGGCTATGTACACCGAGGCTAATACGCACGCACACCAGATTAACAATAGCAACGGCCGTTCCCATATCACGTCTTTTCTGTTTGCAAGTTTATTATTGCTAATGCAAGTATGACAATATGCGCGCACAAGCGAAGCAACGTCTCTCCGGGCGCATGCAGTAGAAAACATCTCACGGTGAGAGTTGTGCGTGCCTTTCAGTGCAGTGTAAAAAAAAAAAAAAAGATATGTTAGACAAATTATTATTAAAATGATTATGTATGTATAAACGCAGATGGCAACAACAGTTCATCTAAATGGCTACTTACCCAATATAAAACTTGAATTTACATTAGACGTGATAACCGTGGAACCATGATTCAGACTATAATTATCAACCAAAATCTATAATTGTTGCATCCCTAATTGTTATGCAGTTTAAAACATAACATATGAATAAGGGTGTCACGATCCTCCAAATCCTCGATTCGATTACATTTTCGTTTCTGAAGGCACGATTCGATTCGATTTTCGATTATGAATAATTAATAAATTAATGACCAATTAATTATTTGTAGCCTACCGTTTAAACTACCTGACCTGCTTGGTCTTTGTTTTACCCATAAACAAATCATACAGTAAATGAATAAAGGCAAGATACACACATAATTACCACCTGTCAATCACTTTTTCTGCGGGACTCGGGAATAGGCAGTGATCGGTGTCGTTATATATATATATATATATATATATATATATATATATATATATATATATATATATATATATATATATATATATATATGGCGTCGGTAAAAAAAGACGCACAACCAACAGGAACCAGCCAACAGTATCTGAGGTGTTCGCTAAAATGACTAAGAACAAGTGAGTGAAAGATTGAAGCAGTCCTCTGACTGCCTGGACCTGCTGTCTCGAGCGCAAGGCTGTATGTGCGTCTGTGTCTGAGTGGTCACGTGATGTGCATTTTCAGAGGTAGAGAGGAAGGAGGGCTGCTCAGATATGCCACACGCCACTGTGGATGTCAAATCGTTGTCGTTCTAAAATGCCATTTAAAAACAAAGAGTGTAAACAGGGCCTGAGTGTGTACTTTTCGCTAGCGGATTTGCAACGGGGGCGGGCGGAGGATCGTGATGCCGGTGTTGTCTATCGGACGAACCGTACGTAATACGTACATAGCAGAGCTTGCGAAACTGTGTTTTTTTTTTGTCGACAACACGAACGTTGTCAACATAACTCACTGGAAATCCAAAATGCTTACACACCGGCGACTTCATTGAAAGAAGGAGAGGGTTTAAGTTCTGTCGACGGGTCTCCTGCTTCTGCAGTTTAACAAGCACTTCAAAAAGCCTGTTTTTTTCTCGCTTGGCAAGCCAAGCTGACGTGACATGTGGGCGTGGCAGCATCGACGATTCTATTTTTTGATTCGCTAATCGAAATTGAGCATAAATTTCGATCGATTTCGATTAAAAATCAAAATCGTGACACCCTTACATATGAATGTGTCTGAATGTAGAAAAAGCCATACTTCAAGAATGAACTGCTTTTGTTGTGCTCTGAAATACAACATTTGAATGTTTATTTTAAAAAAAATTATAAAGAATAATTAGAAAATAATCTGTTTAAATTATGTTGTTTTAAAATACAATATATTCACATTTTAATGTAGAAAAAGCCAAAGTGGGTGTCTTTATGAGCACAAATACAGCATATATTCAGTTGTGTCATCACTCATATAGCAACTTTTATCTCTCCGGCCCTTCGTTTGGGATGCTTTTCATGAACCGGTCCCCATGACAAACTAATTGAATAGCCCTGTTCTATACAGTATGAATGTGAAAAGTATGAATGGAATTCGGACATACAACAGCTGCCATTTTGTCATGGTCACGTGACATACCAGCGTCAGTTGCGTTGCTTCACTTCCTTTCATGAATTCTTTCGCGGGGCATCATGGGATAGCATAGTATGCATGGAATGTGCACCCCAGAAACTCGCCGGAAGTAGTAAGTCATCCCGGTACTTCTCGCATACTGATTTTCGAATTCTATGAATTCGGAAATACTACTCGGCTCGCATTCTGATTTTAGCGTACTACATAGTATGGAAGTATGCGATTTCGGACACAGCCTTGGTTTTGGACACAATATGCAAACAGCCTTATACAGATTTAACCTGAGAGATACAGTACAAGCACTGATCTATAATAGATACGTGATTACAAGCCGTGCGGGGTGATTACGCACACAATTAAACACATTTGGCAAACTACACAAAATGAGCCAACAATAATAACGACACTTGCATGTTATGATCCTGAGGAAAAGAAAACTGGTCCATATCCATATAAACTTTGATACAATGAAACAAAAGATCCGAACCCAACTCGATTCATTTATTTGACTCAAATATTTAGCTAAAGAATCAATAGTTTTAAACAAGCTGCACTTTTAGATTTAAACCTCAGCTGGATGTTATCCTTCACTTAGAGCTGTGTTACATACTCCATGGAAGGTCATTTTCAAAAACCCACAATAGAGGCTCTTTAAAGTTAAGTCTTCTATAATTCTTCTATATTCAACCACTATAATATCATTTACTTTCAGTTTTCTGTACACAGGTTGCAGGCATACAGATGCCACATTAGAGAATGTGATCTATCAACCAGGCCACATCTCCACCATCAACAATGAGACTCATACTGAAACAATTGTCATTCTGCACATGATTTGACACAGCTCAAAACATTAGGTGCAAACATATATATATATATATATATATATATATATATATATATATATATATATATATATATACTTTAATCCCGATCTCACCTCATGCAGCATTTTTTCCAGTTTATCTTGCAGCTCTATGAAGTACAGAGATGTAATCAGGCCCTTCTGGGATTTATCCAGACAGTCCCTTGCCAACTCCACCAACTGGTGCTGGATGAATCCCAGGACTCCATCTCCCAGCGGCAGGGTGCTGTCTGGAGAAAAGTGCCTGATGATGTCCAGCAAACGCTCCTCCATCTGAGCGGTGGCCTGCACAACGTGGATAGAATTTAGCAGCTTAGATATGTAGAGTATGTACACGCATACTAAGAATATATTTAAATATGTTTGGTGCTCCATACCTTTGGAAAGCGTTCCTTATAGACATGATTCATCATTATAATTTCATTATCAAATGAGCCACCAGTTCGTCCAGGGCTAAAACAAGAGGAAGAACTGATAAAAAAATCTCCATCAATTAAAGGTTTAAAATTTAACATTGCAACTAAATTCCTTTGTTTCAAAAAGCAAGTGAGAGGTGTTGTGTGCGAGTACTGTTAGAGGCGTAAAGCATTGTGGGTGGACATTTAAACTTCTAAATCCTGCAGGGATGTGAGCTAAAGGTGAGGCTTTGCATTGCAGCTTTAGTGAAACCAATAGACTATAGCCAAGTTCAGAATGGCTATCAGTCTTTTTTTTTTTTTTAAACATTAAAATCTACAATTAGTTACTATTCCAGACTCGTCCTTTTAAATGCAAACTGGCCGAAGGCAATTTCAAAACCCAGTGTTCAATTACACCATAGTGAAATGTGTCTCTTCAGTGACTCAGCCTCAGGGGAGACTCTTTTGCTAAACAAAAAAGGCTCCTTTTGTTTTGTTTTGATGGGGAGAGCCTGGATATTCCTATTAGTCAGGAGTCCACTCATCTGACAGCCAGTCTGGCAACAACTAGCACTGAACGAGATGGTTCAACAAAAAAAAGAAGATTCTGTCATTGTTTACTCATCCCAAACCTCATTCTAAACCCATATGGTTGACTTTCTGGTCACTCCTTTCTGAACATTGCACAAGAGATACAAAAACATTTGGTAACACTTTTGTTTAAGCCACAAGTCACGGTATTGACAAACCATTAACTAACACTACTAGCTTAACAAACTACTAATTAGTGGTTTATAAATCATGAGTAAGGTTGGGTTTAGGTTTTGAGTAGGATTAGGGTTGCTGAATAAGATCATACTTTAACTACTAATGAACAGTTTATATATTAATATAATGCAGGTAATAAGCAATAGTTAATAGCATAATCTTAAGTTACCCAACATTTTTCTTAGGGATAGACAACAATTAATCAGTAATCTTTTAAAACATGTCAAGTTAAAGGGATAGTTCATGCGACAATTAAAATTTAGATTTTCTTATGAACACGATAGACATGCAACCCAAATTGTTGATCGTTCACAATGACTAACACATTAAGAAAAAAAAAAACTGTATTTCAACTTTCAACTGTATTTCAACACTTTTGTGACACCAACATTATTCAAAATATCTTCTTTGGTGTTCAGCAGAAGAAAAGAAACTCATGCAAATTTAGATAATAGGAAAAGCAAATCCTATGGAAGTCAAAGTGAATATTTCCTTTTGTGTTCAACAGAAGAAAGAAGGTCAAACAGATTTGGAACAAGTGAAGAAAGAGTAAACAGTGTCAGATTATTAATTTTGGGTTAAATTATTTTTTGGGGGGGCATCCTTTTAATATTTCTCATCACCAACCATGCTACAAGGACTTAGGCTAGCCTAGATTTCAGTAAATAACTTTCTAAGTTTCTAAATAAATTTGTGGTTATCACAAAAAGGTCTTGCTCATTAGAAATAGATGGAAAAGTGTTTGAAACAACATGAAAGTGTGTAAACCAAAGGACAGAAGCAATAGGTGAAATTATCCCTTTAAGATCATTTTTTAAATTTGACTATAACCATTACAGTCACTTTGTATATACATACACACAGACATGCACATTTTTTCAATTCTTATTATCAATAACTCTATAAACAATATATCATAGCTTGAAAGAAATATCAAAGTCATAAATGAAAGTAAAGACCCAATTTCCCCCATGAACAGCACAGTTCTGTCAGAGAATGTGTAACTACTTTGTCACATGCGCTTCATGCTGATATAAAACTTGAATTGAATTTATTTTATTTAACAGGGACAATGCTCATTAATCAACAGTAAAACTGTAAATAAGCCAGAGTCAGCCACAAGGGCTAATTTTCATCTGTTGCCCCCTGCCAGATTTTAAAAGGCAACCTAAATAAAAACACGTCATTACACATGCAAAAACAGTAAAGTTACATATGACAAAAAGAGATAAAAACATGCAGGTAAGAATTTCCTAAAACTCAGGGTCATACCATGAAATGTGTGATAAATAATTAAAGCGTAATAACAACACTACTTCAATCCAAACAACGGCATAATATTATACAATAAACACAACTGATTCGTGTTTTTTGTTTACCTAAGGCTACGTGACCGGGGTCTTATAAACGTGGAGGGTCGTCCATCTTCATCAGTCATGCTCTCCGAACTTCGGAAGTGTTTGAACAGGAAATGAAGCTCGTCCTGTGTGGGCTGGTATGGAAGCTGGTGGAGTCGTTCTTGAGATGAGGAAGATGACTGCAAAACAACATAAAATAAGAGCATTAATCCATATTCACAAGGATTAATAAACAACAGTCTAATTTGTTTTAGAAAACTACTATTAAAGTCTGCGTTAACTGGAAGTTGCTGAGACTTTCATTTTAGTATGTTAATGTGCTTCCAACTGCAATGGAATATTGAGTAGGAGACGAGGCTTTCTTTTTGCACACCATTCCCTCATAGCAAAGAGACATGGTCAAGAAAATTGTGGCTGAAGCCACCACTACAAAAAAAGAACACCACAACAAAAGTGGAAGCAAATTGTCATATTTTGATTGACGATTACAAAAAAAAACCTAATTGTTCAGGCAACACAGTGGCGCAGTAGGTACTGCTGTTGCCTCACAGCACGAAGGTCACTGGTTCGAGCCTCTGCTGGGTCAGTTGGTGTTTCTGTGTGGAGTTTGCATATTCTCCCTGCGTTCGCGCGGGTTTCCTCCAGGTGCTCTGGTTTCCCCCACAAGTCCAAAGACATGAGGTACAGGTGAATTGGGTAGGCTTAATTGTTTGTAGTGTACACGATAAGAAAATGAATGATTGTTCACCTAAAGAGTAACCGTACGTTCACACCGAAAGCGGCGAGAGCGTCCAAGGTCGCTCTGGCCGCCCTGGCGACAACGCTCTCTGCCTTCAGCTCCTGCGGCGAGAGCATCAAAACTCGCTACATTGATCTCGTATTTAAAGGAGCCGTTGCAGCATATCAGTTACATTCCTGCATAAAACATGTTTCTAGCGTGAAAATGTTGCGCACTTCTTATCAAATTCATACAACAATGGAAGATCAAGTTGCGTGTGGTGTGGATTTGCTCTATTTATCCAATATGTGTCCATATGTCTGAAATATCCTGAAGCAGCAGTACTGTTTTGTACTGTCACATCGCGTGAGATTCCCGCTTTAAGATAAATTATAATAACATTAATGAACATCAGTAAGTCGCCAGTAACTTATTTAATGCATGTTCCTGTAGGAAAAAATTAGAAATAATTGGAAATGCGGCGACCGCAATAATCAAACCCTTGGGAACAACTGTGGTCGGAACCAAAGTTCACAGGTCTGTGTTCTCTGAACTGCTATCAAGCGATGGACGTCTTCATTCTGATTGCTTGCCGCTGAACCGCGTCATAGCTCATTACCATAAAGTTGACTTCATTTCAACTCTCCTCGACGCTCACGCCGGCGAAGACGCGCCGCGCTGCTCCTCGCCGCCGGCTCTCATTGAAAATGAATGACTTCCGGCTACTTTGACGCTGTCGCCGCTTTCGGTGTGAACGTACGGTAAGAATGTGCGCTATCAAAATAAAAATTGTACGTTTCCATTTTACACAGACTTTAAAAAAAAAAGTTTATGAATTAAAAAATATGAGAACATTTCACACCGCTGATTAATTCAGAAGAAATACTTCATCTTACAGTGTTTTTATTATTAAAGAGCTTTAAATTAAACAATTGAAAAATATTTGAAAAATCTATCATAATTTATGCTTCGACTTGTCATTACTGTTTATTTTATTGTCATGGATCAGAACAGTTTTGTAAGAAGGAATTGTTGATTCATACTGAGGCACATACTGAGACTGTTGAGCTGGGAGGATTGGTCCCGTAACCTGAGGATGGAAGCGAAGCCAGAGACCATCGTCTCCCTTCCGCTCTAAAAAAGAAAACGCAGATCACTTTAGAAGTCAGTATGATGCCATGTCACTCAAACCTGTATGTGGCCACTTAGTCGAGTAGGGCATGTCTGTGGACTGCAAGACAGGGGCGTAACAAAGGCAGCGTAACTTGCAGTAGAAACTTAACTTGAAGTTATGAAGACCCAGATGTCAAAACTATGTTGTCAACAAGATGGCGCTGTTAATAACATCTACACCTACCACAACCGTAAACCCAACCATCATATGTATTAACGTCTACACCTACACCAGACCTAAACTGAACAATCATAATTATTATCGTCTACACCTACCCCAACCTTAAACCCAACCATCATAATAATTAATGTCTACACCTACTACAACTTTTAACCCAACCATCTTAATAATTAATGTCTACATCTACCCAAACCATCAGTTATTAACATCTATGCCTAGCCCAACTCTAAAGCCAACCATCATAGTTATTAACGTCTACACCTACCACAACACTAAACCCAACCATCATAGTAAATAATGTCTACACCTACACCAAATCCAACCATCATAGTTATTAATGTCTACACTTACTAGGGATGCTCATTTCGGTTAATTTTGCTAACCGACAACCGCCGCACATTAATCGGTTATTAACGATTAACTGGTCAGATTACTATTAATTTTATATTAAACAAATTGACGTGACTATTTTGTGTCTGACAAATTAAATATTGCATTTTAAAATACTGATTTATTTTTATATGCTAGCATATTAATAACAGAACACAACAACAGAGCATTTTCACGCACCTGCAGTGTTTAACACAGAAGAACCGAATAAACTAAATAAAATAAATAGGACTGCCCCAAATTATTTTCACTTAAATAATTAATTTATATTACAAAACGAAAATACTGACTGATTCTTTTTAATAACCGGCATAGGCTGTTTTTTCCAATCATATGTTTTTTTTTCTTCCGTCAAATAAAAATAGCTGACTTCCTCAAATTGCCCGCTCCACGGAAAATACGCATTTATTTAATGCCCCACTGTTATTATAATCACAAAACCTTTTACATTTTTAATAGAAATCATTATTTTAAAGAATATGTCCTGATATATGGTTTCCTTTCTCTCCCTCGCGGTTCAAGTGCGCGCTGCGTGATGAAAAGACAACAACAACACGCGCACATGTTGACTTTTTGTAAACAGTTTTGTTGTTTAAATATGATATTGCATTAATTTGCATACTTGCTTTATAAGCTGTAAAATAAAAGGTAAAGCCTATTTGTTGCGTTTATGACGCCGATCCAGGTCAACATCAGCGCTTTTTTTGGCATCAACACGTCTGTTTCAAACAGCAATATTCTTCTTCCATTTTGCTTCTTTGGCAAATGTGTCTGTAGCCACGGGTTATACGTTATCGTCCCGCAAAGTTAAGTATGTCTTGCAGTTAAACAAGTGGCCGACCACAGCTAACGTGCTTTTTTTCATTCCAAAAACGCGAGGCGCACCTCACTGCCTTTATGTTGACAAGGAAAAAAGAAGAGAAGAAGCGCGGTCCTCTTATGAAACGACTGAATCAGCTGGGTATCAATTGTGCAAAAGTGTTGCTGTCTATGTTGTTACAATTGTAATATTTAATAATATTGTGATATTCAGGATTTGTACATTCATACAGCTCTGGATAACTTAAAACAGCGATTAGACCTTCAGAGCGGCATTAATGCGTCCTGAAGTAAAGCGAAGCACCTGTCAGTCAGTCAGCCAGCACGTAACGCCAAAGGATTAAACAGATAGCGCACAGCACTATACGGTTACAAAAAAGTTTGCGCTGTTATAATCCACTTACCTTTTAATAAGTTTTGGTGCGATTATAATCCGCTATTAAAAACAACAACAACAATAACTGAGTGTTTTGAATGGGTAATGTAGCCGTGGCTAAACTAAACCCAACCATTATAGTAAATAATGTCTACACCTACCCCTAGACTAAATCCAATCATGACAATTATTAACATCTGCACCTACCCCAACACTAAACCCTACCATCATTGTAAATAACATCTACTACAACCTCTATACTAAATCCAATCATGACAGTTACTAACGTCTACACCTACCAACACTAAACCAAACCATCATAGTAATAAAAGTCTACACTTATCCCTACACTAAATCCAATCATCACAGTTATTAACGTCTGCACCTACCCAACACTAAACCATTATAGTTATTAACGTCTACTCTACACCTACCCCAACCCTTATCCCAACCATCATAATTATTAACGTCTACACCTACCCCAACCCTTATCCCAACCATCATAATTATTAACGTCTACACCTACCCCAACCCTAATTCAAAACATCATAGTTGTTAACTTCTACACCAACCCCAACCATCATAATTATTAACGTCTACACCTACCCCAACCCTAATTCAAAACATCATAGTTGTTAACTTCTACACCTACCCCAACCATCATAATTATAAATGTCTACATTAACGTCTGCACCTACCACAACCCTAAACCCAACCATCATAATTATTAACGTCTACGCCTACTTTAAGCACGTAGTACCACAAGTTAACGAGGCTTTAATACTTGACGCACTCACTGTTATTTGCAACCACAGAGGGTGACGCCAATTAAGCGAACGGTCATGACAATATAGATAAAGTCAGCAAGTTGCTAAATTAATGAATGTAATAATATATTAAATAAACAGGTTACGGATGAATTTGGACAAAACGTATGAAAACATTTGCTGAAAAAGTACTTCTGCCATCTTTCTAACAACATCTTGTTGTGACATCCGCACGTTTAAATGGGATCTCGATAACTGCAAGTTACACCTCTACTACAAGGCACACCCCTTCATGCTACGCCCCTGTCTTGCAGTCCACAAAACTTTGCTAATGGGAAATAGCATTTTTATATATATTATATAGTCTGTTGGGTAGCCTTTAAAGTTTTTCAGACACACACATTCACTTAAAAAAAAAAAAAACTAAGTTTATATTAACAGGATGACAAAAGTAAAAAATTGACACATGGGATAGCAATTAAAGTCATTTCTATATTTATATAAAACATTTCAATATGTCCTTTAAATATTTGATAGAAATTTAACATTTAACAAATTTACAAATACATCCTTAATTGAAAATAACATATGGAAAGACACGGTGACCAAAAAAAAAAATCAGGCATCATACATAATACACTTAATCACAAAAAATACGTAAGGTGGGTGAGGTTTGGTCAGGTCATAGTGTGAAAAAGAGATTGGCTACCTGTCAGCTCGAGCCAGGTGGCTGAGAGGAAATAAAGAGGGATGAGGAGAGAGAAAATAGGCGACACACTTAGTGAGTTCTATATAGAAAGATCTACAAGAGAATATATGAGTCCACTTTATCTAATATGAGCCTACTTTTGAGTTGACATTGTGGTAAATGCTGATGAATATCAAGAATGCTGATCTGACATCTATTTAATGAGCAAAGAAAAATAAGAGCATTTGTCTACCTGCGGGCGAAAGGGAAGTTGAGAGAGCAAATAGCAGTGGACACATTTCGTGGGCTGTCCAGAGGGCTGCTGGCAGCTGGAAGGGGAACAAGAGGAAATTTCAACAGAGCACATATTGTTACATAAGCCACAGGGTTTAGAAGACGTCAGATGACCTGAGACTTTTCACAAATCACACAGTTTAGGATACTTATCTCCTTTTGGAACAATAATATGTGTCTGAATCACTGTCTATAATGTTTAAAGGTGACGTAGCATCGTTGTTTTTTTTTATGTTTTAAGACATTTACTGTCAGCTTAAAATGCAGAGACAATTATGAGTAACTCAATCTTAGGATGACTTCTCAAAAAATTATTTAACCCTGTGGTGCAAAACTTCTATAACAAACATGACATGCCAAAATTGGCTCCACAAATACGTGTTTTAGAAGTTAGAAGAAAGAAAGAAAAAAAGAAAGAAAGAAAGATGCTGATTAACTATACTTAATGAATTTAATGAAGTTAAATATGTAGTTCACTCCGATTCGTGGATTGTAAATGATTGCAGACAAAGAAAATAGAAATGTGAATAAATAAAAAATAAATCAATAAATAAAACTATGGGGTAATTGTACTTAAATTAAAGGTAGATTTGTAATTAACTCTGATTTGTGTGAATTGTTTAGCAGATCTGCAAGCAAATCTCTCAGTTCATTTGTTAGATGTGCAATATTTAAGAAAAATGCGATATCTGATAGCATGATTGCTAAAACAATATTCAGTGTCATATTTTTGAAAATGATGAAACTGACAGATATTTATTTCAGGCAAAAAAAGGCATTGCAACATTTTAAAGAGAACAGTCATGTTTTACTGTTGCATAAAAGAAATCAGACAATTTAACGATGCAAAAAAACAAAAAAGTTGCATCAACTTGAAAACATCAAGAGCAATCAGGTAAACAAAAACACTTGAGGCAGTCCACTTTCATTCATATTGAAATTATTGCATATATATATATATATATATATATATATATATATATATATATATATATATATATATATATATATATATATATATATATAGATATATATTTTAGAAAGGCACGTTAACATGTAACTACACAGCCTGTAGTGCTAAAAAGTCATTCATAGGGTGAGCTAAAAGCAGGCACACATCACTCATTTATTGCAAACGATTGCGATATGTATATGCGATATTTCAACAATCGCTTTTAAGGCAGCATGATATTGAAAAATAATATGACATTGCGATATAGATTTCTTTTTCTGCAAAATGTATTGCAATATAATTTTGCCAGATAGCTTAAATAGCTCTATTTGGAAAGAATTCAATCATTTAGAACTATCTAGGATTATTCTCATGGTGTGAATAATGCATGAAATATAATAAACATAGCTAAAATCATAGAAAATTACAATATAGCAGAAATAAAAGTGAGACATGCAAGCTTTATGGTTGGATTCTAACTATTCAGGTACAAAAAATGTAATAATCAAATGTAAAATAACACTGTACCATCCTCATTGTATGAATAACCACATAAAATAAATCTTTTTTGAAGTTCCAAATAGTACAATTTCTTGTGTCTGAATTTCACAGAATTTTCACCTTTAAATCACAGGCAGGGGATAAACTTAAACTAGAATAGTTAAATTTTGCAGTGACCACAAATTTAATACAGTACTAACCTAACAATGATTTCAGCACAGCAGATCCTGCGATGCAAATATTGCAGATGCTCGCATTACAATACCGATGCTAAAACTAGGGCTGGGCAATAAATAACTGATATCTGTATTTATTGACCGAACACTATTGTCAATAATGATGATATAAAAAGATTGGTATGTATTTTTGGTATGAAGCGCTATAGATTTATTAAATTGTGGCTGCTCAGAGTGTGTAGACAACGCAGGCGTATTTTCAAGGTACACCTAACTGAAAAAAATCAGAACTTTTCTGAATGCCCAGAGCACTTAAACAAACCAATCTGCTTCACATTTGTGTGGAAAATATACTTTCAGTAATAACGACAGACTAATTACCTCAGACAAACACAAAGCACGCACTCACGCTTGTCACTTCAGGTATGAATATCAACACACACAAAAATTAGTACTGTATAGCAGCAGTGAGGATAATGTAAATTAAAAAGGATGTAAGAGTGACTTTTTGGTTTCTTTTCTTGTGCATCCTAGCCACTAGCTCCCCATCTGAAAGATTTTTTTAGCATAGAGGGTAATGTAGTCATTCAACCTAACAATTTGTTATGTATGTTGCGGTTTGTATTTGAATAATGTTGGCTGGTGCCTTTACTTGAAAGCTCAGATCTGATTATCATAACTTGTTTTGTTTACAGTTTGAGGTTTACTGCATCATTATTATTGACACCCTATAGATGTTGATCTACCTTAAACCACCGCACACACTTTGTAACATTTTATCACGTTTAAGAGTCTCTTCAACAATTATGTTTATTTTATTATAAAGAGATGAGATACTTTCTTTAAATATTTTTGTAAATCTATTTGCCATAGTAAAGTTGGTAAATAAAATTAAGGTGGTTAAATAAAAAAAATCCTACTATCCTAAAATGTATTGTTAAAATATATTCACTATTTATCGAAAGCAAATGATAAGAAACATGATATCGTGATCATTTTTTTTTGTAATATCGCCCAAGCTATATATTGCACAGCCCTAATTCCTATATATTGCACAGTTCATTTAGTTTTCTTCAATTTCTTGAGATTAAATCACTAAGTGGTTGAATCATTGTGAATGAAGACTATGTAAACCGTTTTAAACTTTGGTCTTTTCCTAACACAAAGCTAACATGCAGCTTCAGAAGATGAAGCAAGAAATACTTAAAGTTGAAAAAAGTTAAAAACCAACAAAGAACATAAATGTACAATGTTATGGACGAACTATCCCTTTAACTAAAAGTAAACCCTTGAGCTGGTGTGGTGAGATTCATGAGGGTGACGGAGTGGACAGGCTTGTGTTACTCCAGCTACATCAACCTCTCAATGGTGACAAGCAAGCTCAATGTCAGCTGTCCTGGCGCGGGTTTCATGTGACGAAGAGTATTACCTGTGTGGGCGGACAGAGGCGAAAGAGGGCGGGTGGGCGATGGTGTTCCAACACCAAGGCTCTTTCTATTACTGCTGCGACAGCTGCAACACACAAACAAGAGGGGGAGAGGGATTAATAAAAAGCTTTCTTCATAATCCAGCACCGGCTTTGATTGTAGAAAGCAAACTTAACAAAAAGAAAAACCCCAAAGGATTTAATGATCAGTAGTGTTATAATACCATCGCTTATTTGATTTAATAATAAACCCGCAAGTAATTCTGCAACATCTGCAGGCATCAAATAGGGTGTCCTTCAGCATGACTGCATTCTGCATTAGCTAAGAGAGACTGGAGATGTGCATGTGATGTGACACTTGCTCACCCAACACCTCTGTAAAGTCATGCACTCACTGGCATTGCATCTTCAACTCTGCAGCTACTGATGCATATCAGAGCATACAGAGTTACCTGCATCGATAGCACGAAATAAAGCAGTTTTCATAGTCCCTGGTCTATTATAGTGCGTCATATTTGATTAGGCACGCTACTATGATACCTAGGAAAGCAGTACACCATGTTTTCAGACATAGCACTCCATGGTGCGATTACATAAGTCGACCAAAAGTTGCGCATGTACAAAACTTCCTAACATGTGTGTCTAATGTTGCAGGTTACCTTTTGGATCGCTTGAGCATCACGCCTGTAACAAAATGAGCTTTGCTGCTGCCAGGCAACGCGCTCCAGGAACTTGGATCAGACATAATCGCATACGATTAGAGTGTCAACTGTCCAAGCGACACCGAGGAACAGAACCAGAACAATGAGTCGAACCTCTTCCGATTCATGAGTCCGCCTCTTGACTGGATAAACTCGTCCGGGAAACCGCGTCTTGCTCGCGGCGGCTCATATCTGCTCTTTGTGTGCCACGCTGCTGTTTGCCTGGACTCGTCGTGCAACTTGCTAAAAGTTCAAACGTTCACATTCTGTTCACAGCTTCTTTTGATATCGTCTCGAGGTGGCAGAAAGTCATTTATTTACTTTCCGAAATGCGGCTCACAGCGGGTAGCAGGTGTGAGCCCATGTTTAAGAGTAAAGATGCTGTGTGTGTTGTGGTTGTTTCTCTAGTGTTGATTGATTGCCGGTTGATAAGCTTAGAATGTACCATCTCGCTGAAAAGAGGGGAGACGAGTCTAGCTTAGCCGAATGTGAGATTTACTTTAAAGACGTCTGTTTTACGGATTTCTGCTATTCGTCGTAAAAATAATAATAGTAAAATGTTTTTTTTAATAAACGTTTTTTACTATATAAATTAAGACCGAAGGCATAACCAGTCTTAAAAGTGGCATAACCCAACGTAAATGTCTCCCTGGTGACGTCACATTTTCACGTGTGTTTATCAAAAAAGGACAAAACTTAGTTATTAATTTACATTAAAATATATTATTTTTTTATTATGAAAACAAATCCAACAAATGTCTTGAATATATTGGTAATCTCTTTATTTTATTGTCAAAGTTTTACATACACAAACAGAAATTTGCTAAATCATCTCCCACATTAACAGTTTTTTTGTATCGAGTTTGACTTTTTTATTTCTACTGTGAAATTGTTGAAAAGCATTAATTATTATGACACTTTTTTATTCCCCTGTCAATTCTTAAATTCATTGGATGTAGAAATGCTGAACACTATTCTTTGTGTAATTTAATTTATTTTTATTTATTTGTCTTTGTTTTTGTTTTGTTATTTATTTATTTATTTATTGCTTTTTACCATTGTTGTATTAGTTTTTTGTGTGGTTCATATTTTGTATAGTGTTGTATGTTTGTTACTGAAGGTTATGCAATAAAAAAATGTAGCCATATCAGTCACCCAAACCCATACCCATATAGAGGAGAAGTTGGTTTTATATTTACACATTCTAAATTTCTCCTTATTAATATAATTTTAGAAAAGTATTCTTTGCTAATTCTAAACAGTAAAATCATATTAGCAGCCAATGAAAGTACAACATTTCACTATCAAAATAATAGTGCGTTTTCAAGTCAAACTTGAAATCCCATACTCGCATGTGATTTCACCGGAACCGGAGCACCTGGAGGAAACCCACGCAAACACAAGAAGGACATGCAAACTCCACACAGAAACGCCAACTGATCTAGCTAAGGCTCGAACCAGCAACCGTCTTGCTGTGAGGTGAACATGCTACCCACTGTGCCACCATGCAGCCCAATAATATATTGTAATAATATTGTAATATTGTAAAATAATATTAAAATTAAAAATTAAAATTGACCTTAAATTTTAAAAGTAAAAGTTAAAATTCTTAAAAGTTTTTTCTTTTATTTTCGTTCCAGGCAAAAAAAAAACTTTCTCCAGGAAAACAAAATGACAGGAAATACTGTGAAAATGTCCTTGCTCTGTTAAACATAATTTGTAAAATATTTACAAAAGAACAAAAATTTGACAGGAGCGCTAATAATTTTGATGTCAGCTGTGTGTGTATGCATGTATGAGATTACTTTTCACATTTTGTTAATTTTTTTTTATTATTAAAATCTTCCAAATTTTGAAAAAAGTATTGTTATTAACTAAATTACAATTGATAAGAATTGCAAATGTTTTCATGTGTTGTGACTTGTGAGTGAAAAGTCAGATGACTACTATTCTTAACTATTCAAAAATGACTAAATATTTGTACTGTATATTCATTCATTTTTCTTCAGCTTAGTCCTTTTATTCACCAGGGATCGCCACAGCAGAATGAACCGCCAATTTATTAAGCATTTTTTTTACACAGCTGCAACCCAGTACTGGGAAACATTCATACTCACTTATTTACACGCATACACTATGGACAATTTAGTTAATCAAATTCACCTATAGCACATGTCATTGGACTGTGAGGGAAACATGAGCAGCCAGAGGAAACTCATGCCAACCCGGTGAGAACATGCAAACTCCATATAAAAAACTTGCCAACTGACCCAGCCGGGACTCCAACCAGCAACCTTCTTGCTGCAAGGCAACAGTGCTAATCACAGAGCCACCCATACATAAAATAAATCAAGTTAATAAATTAAATAAAATATACTTAAAAATAAAATATTCAAAGACTTATGCTTACAATTATTATATTTATTTTAATTATATGTAATAATATAGCTAAAACATTTTAAAAAAATAATAAATTATTTAAAAAAACTACAGAATAAACATTCAAGAATAATTTAATAAAATGTGTGTATTTATTTTTCTAATTAAAAATACAACAGTGGATGATGGTGAATTTTATAATAAAAAAGATGCCCAGACTCATGCAAGGAAGTTTAAGCTTCAACCTTGTCCTATGAATATATATCTTTTAAAAAAACTCTGTAATACCCTGCATGTACTGTATTGTACTGCAGGGCCAAAAAATCTTCAAAATGCGACAAACAATATTAAAATCAGCTACATATGTTTGCGGGCAAAACTCAGCCTAATGGCTATGCTATCCAGATATGAATCATACACATAAGACATGAGTAACATACAGATATGAGTACTGGTTCCATTTAATGAAAAAAAAAAAAAACATGCTGACTAACAGAAGACTCTCTAGCAGACCAGGAGCAGCAGGTTTATGTAATGTTTTGGCATGTGGATGGACTGTCTTACCTCCAGGGATGAAGGGATTGTAAAGGACTGCAGGGGCTGCCGGGACTGCATGGACTCAGGATGATAGGACTCTGGCTGGGTGACAAACTGAAAAGCAAGACACGTTTACATGCATTAGCGCTTTGACTAAGTGCATGTGGATTGTTTTCATCATGCTTTAGGCAGCACTTGCAATTCAAAGTGCTTTAGGGATTAATTAAATGGCATAGTGCTGCTTTAACACGTGAAATATAAAGAGGGGAAAAAAGTGCACAAATGGATGAATGAGATACGAACAGGGACTTTGCATGTTAAAGCTGCTGTAAGTGATTCTTTCGGGATTATGCATAAACTGTATACAGTACTACCACCCAAGAATATACAGAGGGTTTGATCATTTATTTACTCAAAATACAGTAAAAAAAAAAAAAAAAAAACAATGCTGAGATATATGATTAACATGAAAAATAATCATTATTTTAATAAAAATGTAATTCAATTCTATTGTAATTAAAAAAATTATTTTATATTTATATGTGTTTATATTTTAATTTTAATATAAAATTTCATTATATACACAATTGATATATGTATATATAGTCACACAAACACACATACATATATATATATATATATATATATATATATATATATATATATATATATATATATATATATATATATATATATGTACATACATACTGTATATACATATATATACAGAATATACAGTATACTGTGTGTGTGTGTGTGTGTGTGTGTGTGTGTGTGTGTGTGTGTGTGTGTGTGTGTGTGAGTGTGGGGAGGGGTGTGTGTGTGTGTGTGTGTGTGTGTGTGTGTGTGTGTGTGTGTGTGTGTGTGTGTGTGTGACTATATATACACTCACTGGCCATTTTATTAGGTAAACCTGTCCATCTGCTGGTTAACACAATTTTCTAATCAGATAATCACATGGCAGAAACTTAATGTATTTAGGCATGTAGACATGGTCAAGACGATCTGCTGCAGAGCAAAGCGAGCATCAGAATGGGGAAGAAAAATGATTTAAGTGACTTTGAATGTGGCAAGGTTGTTGGTGCAAGACGGGCTGCTCTGAGTATTTCAGAAACTGCTGATCTACTGAGATATGCAAAACCATCTCTAGGGTTTACAGAGAAGGGTCCCAAAAACAGAAAATATCTAGTGAGTGGTAGTTCTGTGGACACAAATTCCTTGATGCTTGAGGTCAGAGGAGTCAAAGGCAACAGTAATGCCTAGTTCAGACTGCGTGATTTTAGCCCCGATTTTGGCTCGCCGACAGGTTTTGAGAAATCGCAGACAAATGCCTGAAATCACAGGCAAATCGTTGCTCGTGCACGTGAGTGACAATCACACAGTATGAACTATCAAAGACGCGATCTGAGAGAATCGCAGATGAGTCGCCGATGCCTGCGAGATATTTGGCGTGCTAAATATCTGGAGCTGTCGGCGATTCAAATCATGCCGTGTGAATTGAGTTTTGACTGAAAATAACATCAGTGATCGCCTACAGCCAGTGAGAGAGCAGCATTTACTTGTATGTGTGTGTGTGTGTGTGTGTATACTTGCTGCAGGCCAGCGGGAGGCTGGGGAAGAAGTTTAAAGCGCTCTTTTTCGGTTTATTTGGACCCACGAAATGGAGGAAAAACTAGTGGAGGTTTGACAGGACTCAGGAGTAACCGTGTCTGTTTGACGTTTCATACAGAAAGAAATTAGTTTATTATCAACGTTGAGAAGAAATGGCTAATTCCCTTTAAACCCAGATGAGCAAATATGCACATTTTCTACCCCATTAAAGGCTTCTTTCTCATTATGTAGTTAATAACAAAAGACATACTACGTGTTTTTGGCTGTGAGACGTAGTTCGGACAAACTTGTCGGCGAAAGTCATGCAATATGAAAGTCCTTGTCACCGATCCATCTTGCAGTGTAAACAAAGCAGAGACGAAACGCTAGCCCAGATAGTCATGCAGTGTGAAAACATCTGTGACACGATTACTTTGAAAATCATGCAGTCTGAACTTGGCATAACTCAAACAACCACTTGTTACAACCGAGGTATGTAGAAGAGCATCTCTGAACGCACAACACGTCCAACCTTAAGGCAGATGGGCTACAGCAGCAGAAGACCACACTGGGTGCCACTTCTGTCAGCTAAGAACAGGAATCTGAGGCACAGGCTCACCAAAATTGGACAATAGAACATTGGAAAAAAATTGCCTGGTCTGATGAGTCTCGATTTCTGCTGCAACATTTAGATGTTAGGGTCAGAATTTGGCATCAACAACATGAAACCATGGATCCATCCAGCCTTGTATCAATGGTTCAGGCTGGTGGTGGTGTAATGGTGGAGTATTGTTGCCATGTATTTTCCTTTGTGACCACAGGGTACCCATCTTCTGATGGCTACTTCCAGCAGAATAACGCGCCCTGTCATAAAGTGTGAATCATCTCAGACTGATGTCTTGAACATGACAATGAGATCACTGTACACAATTGGCCTCCACAGTCACCAGATCTCAAGGGTCAAAGGTACATTCGCATTTGAAAAATTTGCAGCAACTACATGATGCTATTATGTCAATATGGACCAAAATCTTTGAGGAATATTTGCAGTACCTTCTTGAATCCATGCCATGAAGGATTAAGTCAGTTCTGAAGGCAAAATGGGGCCCAACCTGGTACTAATAAGGTATACCTAATAAGGTGGCCGGTGATATAACATGTTCATTGGGTGCTCAAGAAACTTTTTTTATAATGTTTATCATTAATACTGAAAATAGCTGACATACAAAGGCAAAAATGCAATTTCTTTTTTGTTTTTGGTCGGAAATTATTATTATTAGTATTATTATTATTTTTTTAAATATTCAGGCCTCCTTTATCACATGAGATAATTTGTGTTTCTTTAGCAGCCAGATTTCTAGTGTCCAAACTTCAATTAATTTGGCTGGAGAACAAATGTTTAATGTCACTTTTCTCATTCAAGTGCCGCTAGTCTTTTCCCTTTGTACGGCAGAGCTGTTCTCCTTTCATATTTTAT